AGAGTAAGAAGACCAGTTGGCAGCAAACTAAAGTCCAGTAGTGACAGATAATTTAATTCAATTTCCGCTCTACAAATGTCGCAGCGCCAGCTTTACACTGTGAGTTCATTCAGTAAGACAAAGCGCCTATAGTTTTAGTAGTACTGGAAATGGCTAACTACAGAGGACAGCGAAAGGATAAACGAGCAAAAACTTTTACAGCTCGCATTATCATTTTCGAGAAAAATGTTATTTTGTTTTTGTTTTTGAGCGAGTAGGCATTTTGTTTGACAAGCCTTAAACGCACACAAACATATACCATACATAGACATACATACATACATATGTATAAACTATGTTTGTTTGAATGAATTTCTTATACTTATACAAACGTAGGAATTATGTTTAAAGTTTGGTTGTACGTACATATTATATATCAATATCTAAGTATTGTATTTCGTAAAATATTTAATTTCGGGATTTAAGGATTTTTATTTACCAATTTCGGGTTCAGATTTTTTGCAATTTACAACTGAACTAAATAGTTTACGACAAATTTCATTTCGGGATTTCGGGATTTGTACTTGCCAGTTTCGGGATCCCGATTTTAAGTTACAATACCGAACAACAATTTTAAATATTTTCATAATTTGTAATTAAAACAGATTTAAAAATTTATTTCAGTTCGGGATTTCGGATTATGTTACCGCATCCCGAGTTTTTTATTTTTGTAAAGTCATAAATTTTAAAAACTAATATAACGTGTTTCGTTGATTATTGTTTGCTTGGAAACGTATTCACAATATCACCTTTGTATGTATAACAGCCGTGATCGGCATTTTTTAAAAATTTCCCATGTTTGCAAGTTCTTTTTATTTATAATTTTTATTATCTATACACATTTTTCTTAATTTTTCCAATAAAATTTTCGGGACTTAAATTTGAAAATTTCGGGATCCCGACTTTTATTAAATTTTTTAAATATTTAAATATTTTTTTTTAAATTATTTTTGTTATTTGTGATTTATGATAAAACCAAATTTAAAAAAAAAAATTCGAAATTCAAATTTGAAGATTTTGTGATTCCGATTTTTAGCCAATTTTAAGTGTATTTATTATATTAACATATTTCAATATTCAAACTAGCAAAAATCGGAAATTTTCCTAGCCTTGTCCATTTATCTGAATTCGGATTGTTGGAATCCCGATTATATGGTACATATATAATATGAGATTCTGAGAATGATATTATTAATTAGACATAAACTATATTTCAATATTTAATATAGTATTGGTGGAATCCCGATAATATATAAAATGTGATTCTGAGAATAATATTATTAATTAAACTACATGGCATGAACTCACCTCAACATCATTGTTACTTTCAGAATTGTTAGTTTACTCTTTCGGGATGCCGATATTTAATTGAAATTTCCATACAATTTTAATATTACATTTATTTTTAAATATCCCAACAAATTCCGTTTCTTCATTTATTTCAATTTTACTTAACTCAGCATTTCGGGATTACCTCTTCTCAATTTCGAAGCACTAATCTTTCAATAAATTTTTTAAATGCAAATCAATATCGTTTTCGGTTTTCAGATATGTAAAAATGTTGACTCATCAGTGAAAGCCGAAATTCTAATTGAAAATTAGGTGGCTAGGAGATACTCGACGAGAGAGTGCTTTTTCCATCGTGAACCAAAAGAGGCAGTTCTGAAAGCTAAATTTTAATTGTCGTAAACTATTGGACTTTCCAAAAAACCTTACTTCAATCAGTTTGAACTTTATAATTTTTCAAGCTCAATTCCAAATGCTTTCTAAAAATACTAATACTTTTTTATAACGGTACAAAACGAAGAGCTGTTTTTAGAACAAAACACGCTTAAAGAAATGATATAAGGAAGAGACTTTTTTGGACCTCAAGAGCTCAAAAAATATCGAAATAAACTAAAGCGTTCGAAATACTGATTTCGTTTCTATACTGAATTCGGCTTTCTACGTAAAAAAAACACTTCATTCTCATACATTTCCAAACACGAACAAGAATGTTGAAAACTTTTACTTTGCCGAATTATTTCCATGCCACCGTGAAGCGGCACCAAACAGCTTTAAAAGTGACTGCGCCTTAAAATATGTGACGTGGAAATATTTCGTTACGCAAACAAACTGTCTGTGAAAAAAAATAGTAATGATACAACGAAAATTTTTGATTATTTTTAATATAATTTAAAGTTACAGGCACAAATCAATTTTCATATACACACAAATGCGCAGAAACTCAGCATACGCCTGTGTGTATGCTAGCGCGTGACAGGCTTTGTCATTTTTTACGGTTCCACGCGCCTGCTACAGACATGCAACAGACGGCTTGTTATTACTTTTTCATGTTCGCCTCTGCCCCACGGACACGCCTTCTAGACAAACACTGGCACAATTTTTTATTTTAATTTGTCTCGCACTTCCCACTGCCTCGCCGGCGACGTTTATTGTTGCTGCCAAAATCGATTTGGCAATATTTTGTTGTGAAAACTTTCGCCGCTTAAGGGCAAAAGTTTTATTGGCATACTTTTTGGCGCATTGCCTGCTAAGTGAATTTCAATAAATCACGCACATCGATTTAGTTAAACGACCAGTCGGCGAACAATACAAGCTCCGCAAAACTATTTACCGCAACAAAATTGCTTTAGCTCAAGACAAACCAACAACAAAACAGCAAGAGAAGTAAAGAAGGGAAAGGAGTGTGCGCTACACAAAGTACGTCCGGAATGTTGCGAACCGTGCAACTCTTATTAATGATTTGTAAATTCCACTTGTGATATATTGTGCCCGCACTCAACGCAAACAATGCATATTTTAAGGCGCAACAAAAGTGTGAGTGTGTGTGTAGTATATTGCATGTTATGCCGTTATTTTCGTACCATTATTACCGCAACGAGAAATATGCCGTTACTCAAGCTACTTGTACGAACATGCGACGAATGCAATTCTAACTGCGTCATGGCAATTAGAAGTTGACACGCGCTTTTACGCCTAAATATAGGTTACGAAAAACGAAATTATAACTAACTTTTGACATACATATGAGTTTTTGTGATCATTGCAATAGCGAAAGGTGTAAGTGAAATTTCAAATTCTGCTCTGAGCAAAAAATTGTTATTACCATAATTTCACTATGCCTAACTACAGGCGCAGCAGAATCGTTTTACATTTTGGTGGAATGTAGCGTAGTTAGCCTTGTTTTTATTGTTTGACATAAAAAGCACGATATTTAACTCACGTAAAACTGTGATATTATTGACATTAACGCCAAATTGATTTGTGCAGGTATTATCATAGCATACTTTTAAGCGCAGAGAGAATTTGTCAGCAAATTATAAAAACAAAAAATTTTGCCTACTTTCAGGATGAAGTATTTAAAAAACTAAGCAACAGCATTGGCGCCTTAGAGTACGCTTTGAATAATTTAAATCTCCTGTTAGAGGCATAAGGTAACTCACCTCAGTTTCAAAAAAAAAAATATTTTATTTATCTATCATATTTTAAATAAAGTTTAATGAAATTCATGATTCCAAAGTTTCAAGTATCTGTTTCCGAAATTAATTTTAGATATTCTCTTTCAAAGACTTTTCTACTAAGTCGAATTTTAATTCAAAGTAATTGCATTCGAATTCAGACTTAAGCCAAGACTCATAATTTGATTTCACCGTAGTTAACGGCTATAAGTTGTACCTTAATGCTGAACTGAAATTAGTAACAGTCTCACCTTCAGTTCATAAAATCAAAAGCAAACTGTTAAACTCAAAAAAACCTCTATTTTATACTCGCTAAAGCTGAAAATTCCACATTTTCAAATTGTCTTAGAATTAAGCTCAAACTTTAAGTTTAACTCATTTAAACTCGAATTTTATTCTCCAAACTTAAAATCTTTTTCAATATCCAAAACCAAACTACAAGTCAGCTTAAAATAAAATTCAGTTTCAAATATATGTAAGCTCAAACTGCAATTTAAATTCAAACTCTAACTCAAACTTAACACAAAAATAGATATACACCCAAAACTCGATTAGCCATCCAGCTCAAACTGAGTCTTAAAATCTAGTAAAACTCTAATTAAAGTACATAATCAAAGCCAAGCCCAAACAGAAGCTAAACCTAGAACTCACACCCAAGACATAGCTCAAACGTAGACTCGAATCTCAGAAAGACGATATTGCATGTCAGAAATGCTGCTTGAACGTTACAAAAAGAAGTCGTTTTTGCATAATTTTGTGACTGGTGATAAAGAATAGACCTATTACGACAATCATAAAGGCAAAAAATTAAAAAATTTTAAAACTTGGCCAACCAGCGACATCAACAGCAAAGCCTAATATCCATGACTCCAAAGTGATACTCTGTTTTTGGCGAGATCAGAAGGCCGTGCTATATTATGAGCTTCCAAACCGGCGTGCAACTTGTCAAATTGAATCGAGCAATAGTCAAAAAACGCACGGATTCACGACTAGATACGAGGCAATAATTTACTTATATGACAACGCTCGGTCTCATCTTGCAATACTGGTCAAAAACGGCTGGAAAAGAGCGGCTGGGAAGTTTTACCTTACTTGCCTTATAGTCCTTCTGACTACTATTTTTTCGGGGCAATGCAGAATACCCTTACAGGCATATGGTTCACATCAGAAGAGAGTAACAAAAATGGGCTAAATGCATTATTGGCCGCCAAGACGGCGCAGTTCTTCTATTTTAGAATGCCAAAAGTATGGAAAAATGTAAAAGTTTCGGATGGTAATTTGGATATTGCTATTGTACATAAAATTTAATTCCAACTCGAAGTCACATTGAACCTTATTAACTCACTCAATTAAGGCGATTATTTTTATTATTAATTAGTGCTAAGTTGTTTATATGCTAATATTCAAAATCAGATTTTACACTCAATCCTTGGGGAGTATTTTCATATTCATACTTCATATACAATAAAAAAAAAAGTTAATTACAGTAAAGGTACGCACATTAAATGATTAGCCACCAAACACGCCTCCATAACGTTGCAAATGCGCATATGAGATGCTGGACCGAGTTCCGCGTGTCCACATTGATATTTACACTATTCTTTACCAAACCTTATTTATGCACTAGATAAAATTTTAATTATTTTACGCTTAAATTTAACAATTTAAAACACTGTAGCCCAACAATTTTCGTATTTTAACTCAAACTGCTGTACAAATATATTTTGTTTTATATATTTTTTGATATGACTTATGTATTCGCCTCTTTTTTTCACACGTCACATGTTTAATTCAATTCAATTACGAGCTTTGTCGAACATATTTTCCTTAACCACTTATTAGCGGCTACTCAATTGTTTGCAGTTCTGTCTATTTTTCACCGTAATTATGTCTCAATTTATTGGTAAGTCCACTCAATCTAAATTTATGCGCGCATTTCGTATTTTCAGCATTGCCATTTCGCCGAGCATTCGCTTTCAATTGTAATTCTATGTTTATTGGCACTTGCGTATGCCTGTGGGTGGCTAAATTACGCTGTTTATGCGAGGAGCGCAGTAAAAGTAGACCGATAAATTTTTATCAAAGAGCGCAGCGTAAAAATATTGCCGATTGAATTTACGGCCGCCACAAAATATAACGGCTTTATATTTGAAATTCGTAGAAACGATAATTTGGCATTTTATTGGCTTTTTTACCTTTGATAGATGTTCATGTTGTTGTTGCTCGTTGCTGTTGCAGTGCTTATTTTATTCGAGACAGAATTTTTATGAGTTATTTTTATGTGCGCTGGAATTTATGGATTTTTTCCCGGCGATAGCGCGCAACCATTTGAGTACAAATATGCACGTGTAGGCGCAGGTGCAGACCGTTAGGTTGCTGTTTGAGTCATATATCAAAATTTTTCGAGTTGCTGCAATGAAAGAGAAAGGTGTGTTATTTTTGCATATATGGTATTTAGGCAGGTATGCAGCTGAAAATATTTCATTGTCATGTAAAATCTTAATATATTTTCGATCCAAAACACTCTAACTCTTTAACTATAAAACCAACTCTGACTCTAAGACTAACTCTAACTCTAACTCTAATTCTAACTCTAGCTCTAATTCTAACTCTAACTCTAACTCTAACTCTAACTCTAACTCTAACTCTAACTCTAACTCTA